AGGAGGAGGAGGAGGAGGAATAGGAGAAGGAAGAAGGTGGGGTTTGCGAAGGAATTGAAACAACGTCTCGGCGTCTCTTCGGTAGATCTTTTACCGTAGTTTCTTATAAGAATATTCTCGTAACGAATCGTTCGTTCAAGGCGGCAAGATGACAAAACGCGGGGGATTAGTGAACTTTTTCATCATTAAACTCTGTCGTATGTATCGAGTTGTATGTACTACGCGATACTTGATAATGATTAATCGATAAATCGAATTTACATTTTAAGCGTGAGATCAATTGAGGAGGATTGAACGTTTAAATTAAATTAAGCCGCGATATCAATTAATATTCATGTGATGTGTAATTTTACTTGTACGACCGGTAATAATAGACCTTTCTAACGGGATCTCTTTTCCATTGGACGTGATTAACGTTTTAGCCGTTCTTTTAGCATTGTCGAGGTATTATTGTCAGTACTTAAGCAAAACTCACGACGCAGACATTCGCGAAGTATGAAACAGTATTAGTAAAAGGGGCATTCCGCCGCGTTCGAGCTACAGAAAACCTAGCGATTCCCTCTCGAAAGTTAGACACACAACGAGAGAACGACGCAACAATATTCCCAGCAGTATTTCATCGAAACACCGCAGGGGGTAACGGTAATGCGATCGCAACGTTTAATTAAAACCGTCGTTTTGCGTAACGGATGATTTGCGTATCGCGTATCCGCGAGGACCGACGTTAACGTTTCTCTCATCGACGTCGATTTTTTCGCTTTCAGTTGCTTTTCCTCGTTCGTTCAAATCATCGTTGGCGGGCGAGCCGTACGCGTTCTTTTCTCCAGCGGTGACGGTGACTCGCGCCCTCCATATCGATTTGTTCTTCTTGTTCTCTTCCCTTTCTTCTTCTTCTTCCGGAGGAAACGCGCGTCGTAAATTTACCGACGTAAGAGCTACCAGGCGACGCGGGGCTAAAAATCCGGGAGAAAATGACAAAATGAGAGGATAGAACCGTTCGACGTTTTGATTATGCCTTTCTTTCCTTTCCTTTCCTTTTCTCCTTCTCGCGAGAAGCGAGTACGAAGTCAATTGTCCATAATCAGCGCGCGACGAAACGCGCGCGCCTTTCGACTACAGTCAATCGAGATCGTCGATGCGTTACTATTAAGTCAGGGCGAGATCAGCCGAGCTATTTACTACTACACTCACACGCGTACGCTGCGGTGGACACACACGAGTGCACGTACATGTACACGTACAGCTATACAATCATACTCGTATACATTGTATATGCGGAGAGAGAGAGAGAGAGAGATAAAGAGGGGGAAGGGAATTAATAATAGCAAACATTATACAGAAAGCGAGGGAGAGAGAGAGTGAGAGAAAGAGGGGGTGGGGGGGGGGAGAGAAAACGTTAAATAAAAAATTTTATCGTCGCCAGGTAAGTCGACAGTAGTTTCGCGAGGTGTAGCTAAGATAAAAGTTTAAGTAAGAGAAAAAAAAAACCTATGGATATTCCCGACGGGCCGCGTGCCGCGTCGATCTTCCTATATCGATTCGATCGGGAAAGAACCGCGAGAGCAGCCTTGTGACCGGCGGAAAGTTGGAGCTTTCGAACAAAAGAGTCGCGAATGAGACTCGAATGAAACCGCGCGGCGAAAATGCGGCCGAGTTTTGCGAGTCGATCGCGGGACCTCGTTCTTTCGCTTCCGCACATCGACGACGGCGGCGAGTCCTCGAGTCACGGATCTTCCGTGGAGAATCGAGCGCGCGTCGACTCGGTCGCTTAATTGATTTCCGTTGATACTTAAGAGGAGTAAACGCTCACGCGGGGATCGAAAGGGAGAGGCACACGCCGTGATGTCCGATTTCGGAGGCGCGCACCGTCGTTTCTCGGCGACCCCCGGTGAACTTTCATACGATGAATCTTGGCCTCGCCGCCGAGAGCGACGCGAGATCGATCGAGGGGATCGGATCTTTCATTCCGGAATCGTCCGCTCACGGGATTTCTTCCGACTGATCCCGCCGATGTTGAACTCGCCGATGTTGGCCGCACCTTCGCCGTATCGCGAGATATCGCCGGGAAATTGTCGTCGAGGGCGATCGACATAGATTCAAAGGATCGGGAGAAGAAGCGAGAGAGAGAGAGAGAGAGAGAGAGAGAGAGAGAGAGAGAGAGAGAGAGAGGTTGTTTGGAGAGATGGAGAAACTCGGAAGCTATTGTTTTGATGTTGCTCACACGTAACGTTAAGTGAATATTTTATCTGCTGCAAGAAGTATTTTCTCCAATTGTTGCGCTATGTACAGTGACGGCGAGTATCGCGGCGAGATGTTCGCGCGGTTCATGCCTGTATAATAAATTCTATGTCCTGTTTTCTGGGTATAATTTGCTCGCATTCACGTGAGTCAATGGAATACCACGAAGTTCCCTTTGAGACCGCGCACGGGTTAATGAAATTAGCTTTTCAGGGAGAAGCGAAAGTAACTTATTTTCATAAAGTTCAGCTCTCGGAGAATTTTCGCCGAGCGAGCCGACGCAACAATTTGCGAGGGGAGGAATGGGACGAGGGAGAGGAAGAAAAATGGGTGGAAGGGAATAGCGAAAGAGAGAACAGAGAGAGAGAGAGAGAGAGAGAGACGCAACTTCGATGCAACCGCGAGCGAATTCGCATTTGCGACTGATCGCAATAAAAAAATCGTTAGGGGAACATCGCGGCGAGCTCACAGGTACAAATAATACGTATATCCCGCGCAGACAGGTTGCAAGCGAATACTCTGAGATGTCTTCTGATTTTTAAGTGCACATGCTGTGTGAAACACAAGTATCAATCCGCGAAGAGTGTGCGAGCGTGGCGAGTTCGCGACGTTACGTTACTATGCATCATCCTGCCGCCGTAATCGGCCACGTTTTCCACCGTTGGTAGCGGCGCAGCGAGTGCAAATATCGGAAGAAGGGAGAGGGTTGAGAATATATATATATAGAGAGGGGAGGGGGAGAGAGAGGGGGGGCCCGAACCCGGGTGATGGGCGGATAGTAAGTAGAAAAATGAAAACAAAAAAAAACAAATAAAACAAAATACGCGCGCGACGAGGATCGGAGGGTGTCGATCATCCGAGCTTCGAAGTCAATGCGTTTGACGTCTAGAAAACGAGTGTGTTATATATAAATATATGATCATTATAAATACATATTAAAATTTAGATTTATATATATATATATATAAATATATATATATATATATGTAAAAGAGAATGTTATGTATAGAGGAAGATGAACGACAACGGCGGGGCGTGAAGAGAGACGACGCAGATATCAATTACGATTACTATTATCATTATTATGTCATGATCATTATTATTATTATTATTATTATTATTATTATTACAATTATTATGTCGTTGTCATTATGTTATTGTCGAACGAGCGACGTAGATCGGTATCGACGGATCATAGTGACACTTTTCGTGGTCGCTGCCGTTTTCGTTATTTTAGCTTACCGCTTACGCCGTTATCGCGATAAGTGCGGCCTCAGTATCGCGAGACGCTTGACATGCGCACGAGAAGCGACTGTAGTTGCAATTGCATCGACCGGCTGCAAGTCGTGCTTTAACAAGCTGCACCGAGTCAGGTTGACGACGACGACGACGACGACGACGACGACGACGACGACGACGACGACGACGACGACGACGACAACGACAACGACGACAACGACAACGATGATGATATACCGGTCGCGAGCGACGAAAGCTCATCGTAATCCTCAGGATTTGTTCAGCCCTGGTAACGAATTGAAGGACACGAGGTGTCTCTACGACGAGGCTCTCGGATCGTCCGCGAAGATGCTGCTGCAGCTGGATCCTTGGCAACTACAGCCGACGCTCGTCTTTAGGCGTGTTTAGGAGCAAATCAGGCCAGTAAAAGCAGATGACGGCTGACGGGTTCGGCAGTTTGGCGAGAGAGAACGAGCGCATCCGGCGAGTCGGTCGTTGTGTTCGCCGGGGAAAAGGAGGAAGACGGTGAAACGTTGCCCCCGAAAATCGCCAGCTGTTTTACTTAAATTAGTACTTGTGCCGCGCTCGAGCATCCGTCGAGAGGAGAGGAATCCGACGCCGGGCCTTAAGCGGAATCGAGCGCGGCAATTTTCTCGTCCTGTGTGAATCGTTTCGTCTGAGAGAGAAAAATTCTGTAAACGTAATTCAAGTGATTAAATGTGTAATTCGTTCTCTAACTGGTGCAGTGTTGTACGCAGCGGTTGTCGCATAGCAGCGTTGTAGTAATTACTTCATCCTTATCATCGAGCATTGTCGTTGCATCTTTACGTCCGACTAGGTTGGCCCGTCTACTTACATTCCGGCGGGGCCGGAGCCCCGCGCTTGTTTTCAAGGCACTTCACTTAGGCACCGTTCTCATCGAGGTAGAGCGCGAAAGTTCGCGAGGCGTCGCGACGACGACTCCCGCTCGAGTGAGTGAGCGATGCGTCGAGGCGGCTTCGCCGGCTTGTCTCCGGGCGGACGGTGAGAGCGATTTCGCGGATATCTCGAGGGTGTTCGCGCATCGAGCGTCTCTTCGGCGACGCGCGTCGTCGGCCGAGCTGCACGAGACGAAGATCCTCTTCTCGTTTCATCGTCGCGACAACCGCGCGGTCCCTCGCCGCGTGGCTCCAACGTGCTCGGGTAACCGAGACCACTCGACTGGGAAGGCACCATGCACCGTGATCCTCGACGAAGCTCACCGCGCCTTATACTTGTAATATTACTTTACGTTGACGAAAGAGTGCAAACGCGAGTGTTTCCGCTAGCGCGACGAGTGACGATGGCGGCGATGGCGACGACGATACTGAGTTTCGTTATCGTTATCCTTAGTGTCGATTATAACACGCGTACTACTCCGTTGTATTGTCCGACAACATCCTGCATTATTTTGTAAAGAAGAATAAAAATATCTTGACAAACGCAAGAACTCCGACGCGACTCCATCATTTCAGCTTCTTCTCTTTTTTTATTTCTTGCTCATATATCGCGCGTAGACGCGCACACACACGCAGCTCTCTCTCTCTCTCTCTCTCTCTCTCGAGAGAGAGAGAGAGAGAGAGAGAGAGCCAATGTCAGTGATCGCTCGATCCCTCGGGAAGCAAAAGCGACGTGAGTTACATCCTGAGAAACACTTGAAACGAGCGCGTTTCCAGCGGAAAGTCAGCGTTCATGTCTTCTCGTTGTTTTCGAGGTTCAGAGTAGAGAGCACGATGGATCGCATTTTTGACGCTGCCGTGTTTACAGGACGTTGTAGGTGACGTAGCGAAGGGACGCCGGCGATATGTATCGGAAGAAAGTCGAATACGACGAACTCAACGGGAGGATCACGTTGAACGGCGCGATCAAGGTGTTCGCGACGTCAGCTTGTCCGCTCGAACCCTGCGACGACGTTTGTTTCTCCTCCGGCGCTGCGGCTGTCTTCGTCGAATTCGCTGCGCCCTTCAGGGCTGTTCCCGCTGGTGTGATCGTGCCGGAAACGTCTGCGAAAAAAAGACGGACGATTATTACCCCCGGCTTACCAAGCTTCTCGCTCGCGCGGACTCGTTTCTCTCCGGGGTTACTCGCTAATTGGCAGCAATTTGCCGACTCGACTCGCCAATGAGAGACTAATTTGCGCTCTATCGACGAACAACTCCGCGAACCGCTCGCGATGTCTGGCAGGCCGGCCTCAGACGGTCCTCGGCCCCCGGAAGTATAGCGGCCTTCGAAGGACGGCGAACGCGGAGAAACGATCCTTCGTTAAATGATTCTTCTTTCGTCGCCGATGCGCGCGCGAGGGATAGTTGAGTGTCTTCCGATTCGAAAGAGTTCTTTCGAAAGTATTGCATTTACGGTCTCTCTTCGAGCCGAGAGCACGTTGGATTCCTTTTGCGAGAAATGCGGATGCAAAAGTTGAAACACTTCGGCTGTGCGATTCGACGTCTCGCGCAAATTGCTGCGGAGCGAGGAGTAAAGGGCGCGCGAGTTACAATCACGGTGACCTTGAGCGATCGATGATTCCGGTATGACGGAAGGCTCGATCTCGTGGTTTCCATGGGAGATCCGAAATACCGGCACCGCGTGTTGCTGCGCTGCCTGAGATAGCAGCACGTGAGAGGAGATTATTGGAATCGCCGGGATGTTTGCGCCGTCGCTGATCCTCTGCGTCACCTTTCCTTTGAATTCCTATTGATCATTTTTCGGAGTTTCACGTCTCAGTACATTTTACATTTGCAACGAATTCAAATTTTGATAAATTTAAATAAAAAAAGTCTTAATAATTTAAACAGAATTTAATTAAAAAAATGGTTAATAAATTTTTAAATTTAAATTTATATTAATATTTTTCATTAAATTCGTTAAATTTTACAGACACTGAGCGAAAGTAAAAGAAACTAAACCACTAAACATTTTGACTACTTCAGTGGGAGTACATCGCGTTCGAATCAGTAATTCCATGAATGTTAAATACAATTTAAGGACGAGAAAATTCTTTCGAGCGAGTGAAAATCCTCCGGAGGGACAGGAGCATAAAGTTCTTAAAGAATGAAAAACGCGTTGAAATCGGAAAATTCGCAAATAAGAAACAGAGAAACGTGCCTCACGAATGTGCTTGTTCTCATTCTCCCGATCGGCATCGCTCCTGGAGGCAACCGCTTGCAGGCTCTCGCCGTTATCCTTGTCGGGACCAACGTTCGCTGCGTTGTCCGATGCTCTCTGCTTCTCCTGCTCTTTCGTCGTGCTTCCCACCGATTCAACTTCCGATTGTTTCCGCGGCTCGTCCATGTTCACATCGGCCTGCGTCCCTTCGATCTTCCTCGCGTTCTCCGGATTCCCCTCGTGGCTCTGCGCGTCCACCCTCTTGCTCGCCATTTCCAGAGCCTGAAGGTGCGCTGTGCGCGCGGCCATCACCTCCGGCGTGTCCTGGACCGGCAGCGGCGCCTGCGGCAGATTCGTGGCGATCACTCGGAATCCGTTCTCGCCGTCGGCGACATACTGCGCGGTCTGGATGACACCGGTCGCGTCGACGTAGCTGTAAGCGCCTCTGGTCGCGCCGTTGGCCGTCCTGACCTCCGACCTCGCCGAGCCCGGCGCGCTGTAGCCGAAACTATATTGACCCAGGCTGTCTTGGTAGCCGAGGAATACCGGCGGCCTGGCATAGCCGGTCGCGATCAGGCAGCAGACAAGGACGAGCTGGAAATATGCGGCGATCGGAGACGCGCTTAGAGAGATCGAGTCAAGCCGAGTCGACGACGTTCCATCCGAGTCGAATTGCATCGAGTCGATGCTCGAAACTCGGCTTTTAATCGACAACACGATTATTAACAGTTGGCAGTGCTCAGGAGACAGTGTTATCGCGAGTAATTTTAAACTACGGCAGAACAAAGATGTGTAGGCTGTTGCGGTTCGCGCGATCTGTCGATTTCGCGCGAGACACGTCGGGCGTTTAATGTTACAGATTAGTATCGCCGGATGATGTTACAGAGAGGCGAAGCGGTTCGCTCGTCTAGTCGCGAGGATAATTCTCACGGCTAGACCGACGGCGCGAGATCACCGTTGCGAGAGAGGGCCGGCGCGGCAACGGAGTACTCTTCCCTACGCGAGGAGCTGTCGCGAGGAGGTGCCAGCACTTACGGATGCGATCTTCCTCATGGCGATCGTATCGACGATACTCGCGGTATATCCGCGTTATATTCGACACGCCGGCCAGGACACTTTATATACGCCGGTGCCGGTGGTGTGCAACCACGCCCTGGCGGCGTGCCTTGCTCCTCTTCTTCCTCTTCCTCCGAGCCCGGGCGAATTCGCGAAGCCGCGAGGGCCGCCGCCCTCGAAGACGAGCCAAACTGGTCACGCGAGTGTCTTCGAGGTCGCGACGGAGATCGGAATCCGGCTTTCGCGGCGTTTCCACCGAGAGCGGGCTTTTTTCCGGGCCGGGGTCCGCCCGGCGATGCCCTAATACGTCGAGCGCTTCAAGGTCGCGCGCGCGCGATATCGGCGCTGTAACGTCGCGCTGCGTCGTCGCGATACGCCGTTGGCGATCTTTATCGCAGGGGGTTGTCGCGGGCTCGCGGACTTTATGCGCGCTAATTTATCGCCCGATTAACTCGGCCGCTCGCGAGACGCCCTTACGTAGACCCTTACGTAGTCAAGAGCTCCACCCGCCCCGACGCGGCGATCTCCCGCGCACGGTCTCCCGAGGCCGCAAGGGCTCTGCGGGACCGGTTGCGGAATCGCGAATGGCGGCTCTTACACGAGAATCGCCGCTGAGATATGGGAGATTGCGCCGTGTCCACGATCGTCGCATTTGCATTCCGCCGCATGCGAGCGCGACGTTGGCTTCGGATGAAAGGGACTGGTATATGTGCTCGCGTATGCGTGAGTCGGGAGAGTTATGCCTGTACACATGCTGAACTATTGTTCACACGTATGATTTATTTCTGCTGAAGTCCGGATACATGAGGGACATACATATTGAGGGTCGACTGTCGAATAATATGTCGTTGCGCGCGCGCGCGCGCGCGCGTCGAGCCTGGTCGTAGGTGGAACGTGGTCATCAGCGGCCGGTAGCGGAGCAGGTTCATTCGTCCGGGAGGAGGTGGACCCTCCGGTCGTGTCTCCCACGAGCGTGCACCGCGTCCCCGAGATCAGTAGACCAACCTGCCGTAAGCGAGAGCCGGACCAGCCACCGCCAGAGCGTCCACCGTCTTCACGTCGTTCTGAACGACGTTCAGACGATTGCCGATGCCCGCGACTTCCTGCGAGTCCGCCGGAAACCTGCCCTCGGACTCAACCGGCAGCAGAGCGGTGACGACGACGCCGTTGCTGAGCATCAGCGGCACCACCGCGCCCCCGCCGTCAACAATCCGCGTGAAGGCGTCGCCAGACCTCACGACCTCACTGGCCAGGTTGATGTTTCCAGCCTCCGGGATCCTGGCGTCGGCGTCGGCCGCGATCAGGCTGTCGTCAGGGACCTCCGACGAGTCTGAGCCGCCGGCAGCTCCGGACCTCGCGGCCTCGTTCGCCAGGTTCAAGCGCTCGTTCACGTGCGCAGCCGCGTGCGCCGCTTTCGCGGCCGCGACCTCCGCGGTGTCCACCACCCTGCCGTCAGCGCCGAGGGGCGCGGGCGACGTTAAGGTAGACTGTCGCGATCGCAGGGTAGCCTGCAGCTGCGAGCGCGGGCTTTCGTCCGCCGCGAGGTTCGTCCTGCCGTCGTCGAGCACACGCTGCTGCTGCTGCTGCTGCTGCTGCTGCTGCCTCCCGACTTCCTGCACGTCCAGCGGTCCTCCGTTGTTCCCGGCGATTTGTCCTGAGGGTGTCAGGCTCGCGTACGTCAACGGTAGAGGCAGGAACGCCGGCTTGGCCGAAGCCAGGCTCGTCAGGGCGAGCAACGCGACCGCCAAGAGCTTCATCTCGCAGCTGTACATCCTCCTCTTCGGTTTCCTCTTCGTTCGGTCGGGCAACCGGAAGTACGGCGGTGGCTCCTTTGCGACGGTTATACGACTACGACGATATCAGCGCGACGTCGCTAGGGTGCACTCCATGCGAGCACTGGCCTGCACGTCGTCGACACACGGTCGCCTTTATAGTCCTGCTGGATCACGTAATAGGACAATCGATAGGACAATCGTGGGAGAGGGCGCGAGGGAGAGATCATAGAGCCGGCGAGCCGCTCTATGACGACGAAAAGCTGTGCGGTCGGCCGCATCCTTTTCGCCGTTCGGAGTACAAGGCAAGCGAGTGTCTGTAAAGCGAGAGCTTACCGACGGCGAGTGAGCGGCGGGAGGCTAGAAAATGGGACGGCGCGGGATGAAACGGAGAGGGATTTTCTTTCCGTCTTTCTTACGAGGCCGGGAAGACACACGATCCCGTTTCCAATTTCTCCGCTAGATCGGCCGTGATCTAGAAGGCCGCCAGTAGTCGCGCACGGCGTCGCGACGGCGAAGGCTGCGCCGATCGCGTAATCAGCGCGCGCTGCAGCGAGCGCATTGTCGTTTTTGTCCGGTTAAGTAAGAACAAGCGTGTTCGCGAGCCGCGTTGCTTAATCCTCGATCAGCGGAATCGATTCTTCTTGGGTCGCCGGGACGATCGTCGATCGCCGATCCGTCGTCTCTCGAATTCCGACAGTTTCGAGGAGAAGAGCAACGGGACTCGAGTGTCTCTCTTCTCTTGAAGAGGGGATCGATTTCGTCGATCGGCTCAACGTAGCAGTCGCAATCGTGAAAATGCAGCTGAACCTTGGATGTCGCAAATTTTCAAGGAAATGACGAAACTCCCGTCGGAAGGTCCGCGCCGAAGGAGGAATTTTGCATTACCGGTTGCCTCGGTGAAACTCGCGGGGAGCGGGTAAGAGAGAGACAGAGAGACAGAGAGACAGAGAGAGAGAGAGAGAGAGAGAGAGAGAGAGAGAGAGACCAAAAAACAGATCGGCCACTAATGAGCGACGTCGCAAGAGCGAGCGCGACGAATCGGCCGGCGTTGATCGCCTTTTACGACAGAGCCCGATCGAATTAGCCGCGGGCCGGATTTAGGCGAGCGTGGCATAAAGCGCCGACAAAGGCCGGGCGATCCGCGATTACGCGAACGGGAGCGAGAAGAGAGGCCAATGTCAGGTACGTCGATTCTTATTGGGCAGTGCGGACACACGGGCGACGGACACATCCTGGTAGCGCGGCGCGCGTTCGGCACGGGACCTTTTTTCCCACGGGGTATATAAGGCCCCGGCGAACAGGGTGATGCACGACACATAATCCGAGTACCTTGGCGAGTACTGATCTTCGGCAGCGCTAAGGAGCCAAGCGATTTCGCTCGAGACATCATGCAGGTCCTGGTGAGTATCGAGAGTATCCTCGGCCGAGGAATCCGAGTCGCACGGCGCGCGGCGATCGTCGGGAGCGATCCTTCCGCGAGCCTCGACCTCGACCTCGTATCGTCGCTCGAGAAGCTGCGACTCGATGAAGCTTTCTGCCCGCGCAGACACCTGCGCGCGATAAGCACGCTTATCTCAAACGGAACACCTCCGACCTAACTCGCCGACTAACTCCGCGAGTCGGCCGGAGATTTGACTTGACGGAGTCGACGGAGTGTGATCAGAGCTCCGTCGACTCGCCTCTGTGTAATCGACGAGGCCAAGCCTCGGAGGTGAAACCTCGTCGGCGGGGCGTTCAACTGGAACAAACGTCTCGGGATGCATGCATGGTAGAATGCGAGTGAGACGCTCTTCATTCTTTTCCAGGTTATTCTGTCCGCCGTGTTGGCTTGCGCCTTCGCTCGCCCCGGCGTCCTTCTGAACGCGCCGGCGGCGGCCACTCTGACGCATATCGCGCCGTTGGCTTACGCCAAGCTGGTGCCGGGTGCCCCGATCGGGCTGGACGGCCGAGTGGTGGACACCCCGGAAGTCGCACTGGCCAAGGCCGAGCACGCGGCCGCTCACATCAACCAGAAGATCGATCTGGCCAAGGAAACGGTCAAGTCGACCGATTACCACGTGATCGCTTACGAAGCACCGGCTGCCGTGGTGGCGACCGAGGAGCATCTGGTGCAACCGGTTGCGCTGGCGACGAAACTGGTCCCCGGTGCGCCGATCGGGCTCGACGGGCGCGTTGTCGACACGCCGGAAGTGGCCCTCGCCAAGGCGGAGCATGCCGCAGCGCACGTGAACGAGAGGCTCGGCCATGAGGCCACGAAACTGGCCGCCTCCCATCAGCTCTTGCCGCTCGTCGTCTCGGCTTACGCCACGCCGGTCATTCATTCCTACGTCCACTGAATTCGGCAATTCGAAATAACGAGGCCCGCTGTATCGTTCGCTCGATGGTGTAAATAAATCCGCTGAAGCGCGAGCTCGTGGCGCAAATCCTTGCGACTGTTTTATTGCGACATTGGCCCTCGAATCGTGAGATTTTTATATATATATATATATATATATATATATAAATACATATATAAAAACATATTGTGTGAGAACACACAAGATGTTTTATACGCGCAAAAAATTGTACTACGATTGTTCGCGCACCTTACGAAGCTATGTGCGTGTCTTTTTCATACTTTTTTCACACTCACGCTATATCCGTTGCTTTTATTACGGATCTTCAAATTTGTATAAAGGCGACACAGCCGTAATTCTCAGCCGTGACTAATAAAATGACTTACTGAAACCGCATTTTCTCTGGGGATGCACATTGTAACGTAATTCTGTAAGCGGTCTTGCAGGCGCACTCTGCTTCATATCCGCGATGCGTCTGCGACTACTCGGAAGGCCGCTGCGCTCCCACATTGCCAAAAAACGACGCGGTCTCGTTGCAATACGATCAGTGATACGATCAGAAGCGGAAGCGACGTCGACGATAAGGAAAATGACGACGATGACGACAACGACGACGACGACGACAACGACGACGACGACGACGATGATGGGCTCTCATTGCGTACGATTTTCGGGCGTTCCCCGCGCCGTTGGCTTTCCAGGTCACGCCAGGTCTACGCAACACTGGCGGGGAACCGCCGTCGCGTGCAATCGACGGCTTTTTCAGCGACGGATTGTCGCTGAAAAAAGAAACGTCGTCGCGGCTGTCTCGCGTCGCACACACGCGCGATTACCGGCCGATTACGCGACTTCGTTTCGCGACGTTGAACCGCGCGCGCTTGCGACACTTGCCCAATTCCAAAGGACAAGAATCTGGCCTATTCGATTCGCCGCGGCTTTCGCGTATTTAGGCGTTTCTTGCGGCAAGGCGGCCGACATTGAGAGAGCGGCGCTCTCTATCACTTTTACACGACGTGTCGCTGTTCCTCGCTCGGCGAGCGTGCAAAACTCAGGGGGTTGGCCGAGAGCTGACCGATGCAGATTGACAAGTCGCGCGTAGTAAATTAACGACGGACGTTAATGAGCGAAAACGACGAGGAAAGGCGCGGTCGCGATAACGGTGACGCGTCACCTTGCCTGTTCGCGCGCGTTCGCATTCGCACACTCCGCAGCGTGGGCTTATATGTCGTGTGGTGTCAAAGGTGTGGTGTCACACCTCTCGCACGCATTGCGTCCGTATCCGCTTAACTCGCGTCCGATATGTAGCGTATTTCTTTGCGAAGGACACCGAGATCCTCGCGCTGCCGACACGTCTCGCTGATAAAGTCTAAAGCGATCCCTTGCTACGAGCTACGTGCGCCATCATTTATCGCGATCTCTTCGACGTCGAATCAATTCAGATCACCACCTTCCTTGAAATTTATGCGTCGAGTAGCAGGAGAAATTGCAAAACGCAATCTGCAGCTGCAACTTCGCCGTCCGAAACATTCGCGAGGCGAGTACCGGGCTCCGGGAGGGGAACATACGGAGGGGAAGAAATCAACTTCGATATCGTACGATGGCGCGCACATGCCCGTTGAAATTTATCGCACGGGTCACGAAGGTCCGAATACGCCATAAACGCGTCAGCGAGGCGGTGCACCGTTGCGGCGTTGTGAGAATGCATTCCCGATGCAGATCGTCCTTCGGCTTCGTCGGTGAGTCCTTCGTTTGCTCAGCCGGCTGCTGAGCCGGTACACGCCTTTGTTGTTTCTCAACGTCGACGGCTAGTCTGTCAGCGACGTCATTTAAGCGGGATCGTTTGTGGCTGACAAAGACACTCACGATTACGCCCCCCCCCTCCCCTTCGATTTCGACGCGCTTCGAATATATCGCAGTGTGTGATGTGAAAGCAATATCAACGGTGTGAAAGAAATGCTTCCTTACACGTCCTCGACCGCAAGTTTGAGGACTGAAGTACCCTCTCTCGTGTATACTTTGGAGCAAGGGAGATAGAGCGAGAAATGACAAAGACACTCGCTCGATTTCGACGCGCTTCGACAACATGTCTGTCAGCAGAGTCTTCAGCAATATGAGAGAAATATTGTTTTACATGTGCGAGTCTGAGAGCTGCGGCGCGGCACCCTCTTTTACATCCTGAAGTACAAGAGGTGTTTTAATAGCCCCGAGGCACGTTGCGATATTTATCCCAGATGTTGTTAAGTTTTCAAGAATGCTCTCGCTTCTGAATTTCAGATTCAACAGCATAAATTAATCGCAATCTAGATCAGTCGCGAATGGGAACACCGTGAGCTCCCCCCGTTACGCTTCCGGCCGCGGCGTCGGAGCGTCCAAATGTCAAGGTCGCCGATGGCGAAGAAAGAGACACGAGGGAGGAGGCCGCCTACCCTTTTCCAATTGACGCGCGAACTTCCCGGGCCAACGGGTTAGCCGATCACCTCTGGACTCCCTCCAGAGAGTCGCCGGCGATTGGCCCACGTGGGAGGGGACGAATGAACGCGACTATAAATGGTACGAACCGGCCGTTCTCCAGGAACACAAAACGCCGAACCGACGACCGGGCATCTCACTTCTGGTACGAGCGAGTACTGACGTAGGACAGCAGCGCTCTTACTCAGTCGAGAAGAAGAAGAAGAAGAAGAAGAAGGAGAAGGAGAAGAAGCGGGAGACCGGCCAAGAGCACACGCCCCTGGACTTCGTCATGAGAGGCCTGGTGAGTGATCCCGGAGGGATCCGCGAGATCCACGCGGACAAAGAAAAGTGAAAGGGCGTTGTTGGGGCAGGTCGCGAGCGGCCGCCCACCGAGAGAGAGAGAGAGAGAGAGAGAGAGAGAGAGAGAGAGAGAGAGATGCGGAAGATCACGGGACTGCTGCCTTCTCACTGCTGGCTTCTATCTTTCCTTTGTAGATTCTCCTGCTCGCTACAGCGGCGAGCTGTCGTGCCGGCTACATCGCTCCGCCGTCGTACGGCAACCCCTTGCTGCACTCTCAGCCCCAGCAAGTCGCACCGAGCTATGCGCCACCGGCTCCGGTCGGCGAGGACGGCAATGTCATCGATACGCCGGAAGTGGCACAGGCGAAGGCCGCGCACTTTGCCGAATTCGCGAGAGCAGCCGCTCGAGCAGCTGTGAGCGAGGAGAAAGAGCGGCAGCAGGAGCAGCAACATGGTTACAACCCGCATATCTCGTCGTCAACGCACATCTACCCGGCGACTCAGCCAACCGCAGTGCCCTACCTCAGGCAGACCAATTACCAGCAGCCCACACCGACCTATCAGACGGTGAATCACGTGCCGACGTCCATCTACAACCCGGCGAGCTACCACCAGCAGCCGCAGCGGTACGAAGCCCGAGCCAACTTTGTGGGCCAGAAGAACTACGCGCTGCCGTCGAAGACCACCACCTTCGTGCCGGCGCCGTTGGGCGAGGACGGCACGGTCGTGGACACGCCGGAAGTGGCGGCTCTCAAGGCTGCCAGACTGGCCGAGCTCGCCGAGGCCGAGGCGCGAGCTTACAAGCACGCGAGCACGCAGCAGTACAATCCGGAGGAGGACCAGGGTCAAGGTGAGTTGTCCGGGCGGAGGGTTCATGGTTCGCCGACGAGAAAGAATTATTTATGATTATATACGAATTTTGTCTTTGTAAACATGTAAAATTATATATATATATATATATGTAAATATGTATGTCCACATTGATCAAAATGCTGTTGTACAGATAGAATAAATTTGAGTAAGGTGGCCATAATATAACATTATTATTTCGAATAGTATATGCGCATAAAATACTGCAAATATCAATTATCTTTGAGACTTTGAGAACTAAAAACGTACCGTTTTGCAATTATCGGAGAAATTACTATATACAATTTATAGCCATCTTAGCGGAGCTTGCCATTTGCTGTGTAGATGCACAGAGAAAAATGTAAGGAGAAAAATATTTCGCATGAACTTGAATAGAATTCTGATATTTTCAATTGGAATTTCTGAATCGCTCGTATTTCGCCAGAAAATTTGTTCATCCCACCAAACTCCAGGTCTAATTTTCTCCGGGTCTAATATACCAAAGAAAAAAGCAATGGCGGCGATTACGTGATAGAATAACAGAGAAAGAATCGGCTTTGATAAAATTGAAGTCCAGTTTTTTTTATCACGAAATCCATCCAAACTTTTGCGCTCATTCGATACAATTAAAGTTATTGTTTATGTTTAAAGGAGCCCGTGATGTGTGCAAACGGTAATATAATTGAACGGAACAATTTCTTCTTCCCGTTTAACAGCGTTCTCTCTTCACTGTGGACTGCGGACCGATGTATTATTTCATGTGATGTGATTATATGTATATTATGCATGACCAGAGGCAGGTAGAAGCAACATCTTTGAGAAACCCATCAAAACTTTCGCACTCACTCGATGTACAATGTAATCTTTTTGATTGGATCGAGTGCGTGGATCGATAAAGCGTGATTAAATTTTTACCGAGATAAAATTCGCGCGGCAAAGGCGGGCGGCTGACATTGTCGGATGGACATTGCCGTAGGTGATCCTTCGCGTGCTGTTTCAGGTTACCCGGCGGCCGGACCAGCCCCTATCAACTACCTGGGGCCCGGCGCTGCGAGAAGCCCGTACTACGGAGTCCAGTCTTACGCGAATTACCAGCCCCATCATTATCGTCCCCAGCACCTCGTAGGAAACTACTGATCCTCACGGATCGGTCGGCCGCCGACACTGTCCGGACACTGTACATACTCTAGATGAATAAATTGCTTTCCTTCCTTTTCTACGCGAATCACACCGCGGTGCATTGTTTCTCACTACGCCGACGACATTTGTACGCCTCTTCTATGATTCTCGGCTGATTGTGATACATAAAGACTGCTGAGAGAAAGATTCAGTGGAAGGATCAACCGTGTCGACTCCTCTTGTCCTCCTGATCCTCTTCGCCTGTCAAATTTATTGTCTCGTTTTGTACGATATATATACATGTGACTATTTTATAATAAATAAATAAATAAATAAATTGAATTACACGAAATTAGCCAAGTTCTGTGAGAGTTTCGTTGCACGAGAGCGACATCGGGAATTCCACGCACGCTTGGTGATCGGTGTTCGTGAAGTAACGCAGCGATGAATATTTCTGATTTCTTATTGTTATGTGTAACGCGAAATAGCCGATTAAGCTGCAAATGGGATTTTACTCACGCCGTGGTCCGTTTCTTAACTTAACACGGCGTGTAATTAATTTCGAACGTTGCGAGAGGAATGTTCTCCCCGTTGCGTTGTATCCGTGAAAATATTAATTCACAGCTGGGAACGCGCATCAGATGCACACTGATATCAAATTAATCAGCGGTTTCTCGCGGTACATTAGAACCTCGTGAGTTTTCCTCTCACCAAGTCCCTCCTTTGCGAAATCAACAGCAAAATTAGACACTTGCATTAGGATAAGAAAAGAAAATGAAATCGATCGCGAAAGCATTCGAAGCCGTCGCACAGACTCGCGCGAGCGGGAAAGGGAAAGATTCGCGAGAAGACGGACTTTCGCGACGCGGGACTTATCGCGAAAGAAATTGCCGCGATTCGTGACGAAACCGGCTTGTGTCTTAATTCCCGATAAAAATCGGAGGAGTGCGAATGGAACGATCGGATCGTCGTGCGACTCCGCGATTAGGAAAGCTTTGCGTTTTGCGGCGGGACGTAATACCTCGTAACGATCGTCTCGTACGATTGCGGTCGATGCGCACGCAGTTTTGCGCAAGCCGAGAAAAAGCAAGCGAAATGCTTGAGGCAACGCACACGGCCAAACATTGTGCCTATTGTGCCGAATTACAAGTTATTATTCACATGGATGTAGAAAAAAGGTTGACTGCGAAATATATAAATATATACAATTTTATTGTTCCTGCTGAATCTCTCGCGGTCTCTCGCAAATATCACGCGCGCGCGCGGCAGGAAGCGCTGCGATTGCCAATCGCGACTGGGAAATCTGGGATCTTCGCGGAGAGTACCGCGTAAAATTCTATCGAAACATAGTCGTCTCGCGTTACAATTGTGGATCTTGCCACATAGGTCACCGGAGTGCGAGAGAAGTAACGAATGAGAAAGAGGGAGAGAGAGAGAGAGAGAGAGAGAGAGAGAGAGAGAGAGAGAGAGAGAGAGCGGAATAATAGCTTCGCTCCCTCCCGGGAACAAAGTCGAGCATCGTGATTCGACATACCGCTGCCGGCGGAAAGGTCAGGAATCGTAACTCGTTTGTAACGCGCAAGTGCTGCGCGACGGCGGCCGCGGCGGTGCGACCGATAAAATTGCGGACGAATCGACATCGGCATTCTTTTCTTCTTTGTTGCCCTTTTTTGCCGGGCACTCGATTACTCCGGGCACTCGCCGTGGCGAATGGTGGCTAGGAAACCGCGCGCAAGAACGGAAAGGAGAGACCTTGCCGCCGAAACTTCCCCGGCGCGGCGGAGAAATCGATTTTAGATACGAGACAACTCGTGCAACCCCGGCGAACATCCTGCAACGCGCAATTGCATTACGCTTAATCGACGTCGGCTCGCGAAAAGATGCGAATCGGGCGTGCACGCATGAGAAGGGTGCCGCTCGAACGGAACGGAGGACCCCGCGCGGCGGATTCTGCGCGCGGAGGGCCGCGCTATCGAGATGTGACCCAACTCGTTCCGGAGATTATGTATTATGGGAGACCCCATTCCGCGTGCGCGAACATTTGCGCAACAATCGATCGCCTGGCGATCGAGTAGGCCAGCCGAGTCGTATCTCTCACGTTACAGCGCGCGCGCGCGCGCGCGCGGATCGCCGCCGATTCGCCATAACGGGGGCAAGATCAAATGATTTTCTCCCCCGCGCTGCCCCACTGACCTCCAATTCAACTGATCCGCCCGATATCGTCCGCGATTATCATCGGGAACGATCGCTCGACGCGACGCGACGCGACGAGTCGACGAGGCGAGCCAAGAACCGAACACGACGGCTCGCAATCTTGCGGAAAATTAATTTCTATCGTTGCCGTGCGCTGCGCGCGATACAAGGCTTGGAGAAAAAGAAAAGCCGGTAAATACTCTCCGAGGAAAATCATTCCGCGCACAAGGAGTTGAGTTTCCCTCGCGTATTTTATAGAAGGCGACAGGGTAGCAGTTTCTTCGGGCGGGATGATGCGCGATAGAGGAAGAGGACCACCTTGAAGGGACCGGCGGTCCCACCGGCGGTAATCTATGATCCAGGCCGGTCGTCCGTGAATCGCGCGTGTTTTACAACCGCAGAAAAGTTCACTCGAAAGAATGCACGTTGCACTGCCGCGTTGCGGTGAGGTGGGTGGTTGCGTGGAAAGTGAGGTAAAGTCGAAGGGGCGGGGCGGAGTGGCTCGCATCCTTATCGAATGGATGCGCGCGCAAATAATACAACCAAGTGTACATACATCTTCTTGTTGTCCTAATTTGTGCGTATTTAGTGCGAAAACATGAGAGAGCCTGATAAACCGACAGTCAGATTTTCACTCGATTCGTAGGAATATTTCTGCACGAGATGTAGCGAGATGGAGCGTATAAAGTGAGGCGTGTTCAAGCTCGCCTCCGTTTCTAATATTAATTGCAATCGTTCAATTATATTATAATTGATAAAATAATATTAATAATATATATTAATTAATTATATAAATTATTTATACCTCGCGTTTGTACTTGAAATCGATGCCGAGCGTCTAAGACTCACCTTATATCCGAGGGAATGTATCGCGTAAGGTCGCGTGTGTCATCAGAGCTAATAGCGATTAAAGATTTTTTTGCAATGGACCCTGCTGACCACGATGATGGTCTCGTGGGGTAACATGCGATCCTATATAAAAGCACGACGCGCTGGTCGCTTTGACGTATTCATAACTGAGGAAGCCAGCAGTGTCGTAGACGATCGTTACGACAACGACAACGACAACGACAACGACAACGACGACGACGACGACGCAGTTATGAGGTTACTCGTAAGTGCGATGTTACGAAGAAGAAAAGCTACCGGGAGAGAACGCGACTGACGTCGCGGTGGCGGCGTACTCTTCTAACGTCTGGTGATTTTCAGCTACTCCTGAGCGCGACGAGCCTGGCAATCGGCAAATCCCAGTTGATATCATCGTACAACTACCATGGACCATGGGCGCCTCTTTCCAGCGACGGCACGGTCGTAGACACACCCGAGGTCAACCAAGCGAAAGCCGCGCATTTGGCCACATATGCAGCTACAGCTGCCAAACTCGCGGACAGCCGAAACGAAATGTCGTCAACCACGAGATCGGCCACAACGACCGAAGAACCGTCGAGAGACGCCGTCATTGTAACAACTCGAGAGATGACGGGTGTGACCCTTGTGACGCAACCGCCTGACAATCAAGGCTCCACGGCGCCTCTTGGGCAGGATGGACAGGTGGTCGACACGCCGGAGGTAAGACGTCGGCGATAAGAGGAAAGCGCGATTTCAAAGGCCGAACAGAGAGCCTTTGCCGGCTCTCTCGACTCAATCGAACCCTGCCGGGACGAGCCTCTTCGAGTCTCGACTCGAAGAAGATAGACTCCGTCGAAATTCTCAACTTGACAATCGAGTTTTACCTTTGCCTCACCGATACCGGCCGATAATTTGCCTTACGTGTTACCGGCCGTTCCGGTAGGATTAATTGACCCAGAAATTATACGAGGCATCGAGTGTCGAGCTGATAATGGTCTCGAGTTAATGGCAGCTTCGCTGTATGCATGTATGGGGGGGGGGATCAATTTTCAAGGTCGCCGTGGCCAAGGCCAAGCACCTGGTGACACACGCACGCGCGGCTGCGACGGCAAGTGCGGGCTACGAATTGGACGCCCACGGGCACGCATACGGCAATCTGCTCTATCTGACGCCGCTCCGCTTGGTACCGCCGATCGCTTATCAGGGGCCACCTGCTCCGCTGAGCCCGGACGGACAGGTCGTCGACACGCCGGAAGTGACGGTGGCCCGCGCGGCTCACGCGAAGGCTCACGCGCGCGCCGTCGCGCTCACAGCCAACTGCGACATTTACTGTTGATCGAGTTTATCGCGACCGATATTCTCCGATATTTGATATCAATTAATGTTATTGCACTCGATGATAATTGCTGTGTCTATCGTATCATTGTACTTGTATTTATCGCGCTTAATGTATCCGATGCGTATTTATTGTATTTATTGTATTTAATATGAATTAATTTTATCGTATTTAATAATAACTACCGATCGACAGGCAGGAGTTAAGTTACTCCTAGTTGAGCACTCGCGCCCACCGAGCGACGGAAGTGAAGATAAAGAGTTCTCCTCTCGCAGAAACTGAATTCTGCCTCAAGGTTCAGGCGCGATCCGTCACGGTGACGTTGACTGTTCGTTGAAAGAGAGAAGAGAAAGAGGCGCCGACAGAGTCCCGATTTCGGCTCCGGCGGCGCAAAAAGAAATTGATTGACTTGCGAGGGCTTGACGAGGGGAACCGGCTCTCGCGCGCAAACGCGAGCCGATACCAGGCGCGTTGTTCCGTACGAGCTCCTAGGCGAGCTTGCGCCACCAGCAAGGACGCGATTAATCATGCCTGACGAAGTGTGCAACGACGCACGTGCTCTCGCGGAAGCGAGATTTAAATAACGGTACGCGCGGACAATAACACGTGAGACAAGACAGAGATTGAGAGATCCGGCAATGTCTCGAGGAAGAACCGGATTCCAGGATCGACACACGCACGGATACTGGAACGTCGATCTAAATATTCCCCCGAGCCCAATCTCCTCCAGATTTTCGAATTTACTCCCGCTCTTTCCGACTTAGCTTCCTGCTAAGCTGAGACTTTTGCAAGGAACATTCCAGCGTTTCTCCGCGAAAGCGAAGTCGTCAGACGGATGTCGAAGGATGTCGAGCGGGCCGGTGACTTCAATTCCATCGCTGGGTATCTCATACACAGTATATATATATATATATTTTTTTCTTTTTCATCGTATACAACACGCCGGATACAAGTAGTCGCGCGTGACATGAGGAAGTGCACGAAATGCAGCGCTTGAAATGCGGGAGGGAAGTGCTCTATCGGTCGGTCGGTCGGGAGTCGAATCAGCGAGAGCGCGTCGCTCGAGGTAGTTGAGACGTCGCGACGGCGTCTACGTCGCCGCACACACATTACATGCAATTTTAGGTTTCGCGATCGCGAGCACGCGGGTAACGCTAACGACGTAATATACAGCGAGCGGGATATGATATACGGATATAGATATAATTCTCACGTGGTCCCCGAGCGTGAATAACCGTTCGATTGCATCGCTCTGTCTGGCGATCGGCCTGTCAGTCGCCGTCACTACTACATCTTACAGCAGCCGCTGGATTATATCGCCGCCAAACTTCGTTGCTTCGCTCGGGCGACGCAATCGAAAGGATTCACTTGGCGCCCGACCACGTTTCTCCAACGAAACTCTTGCCGGTTTAGTCTTCCAATCGTGAGGTAGCTGGAGAACACCGGAGAGGACCGCGCGTGATCCAGCGAGGTCGATCGATCGATCGATCGACCGGTCGATCGGTCGATCGCTGGAACATGGACGTCCCTCCGATGAGAGGAAGCGCGTTTCTCGAGTCGCCTTGATCCGGTCGTTTCTCTCTCGGCGAGCGGTCGACGTTCGCTTTTTTAATAGTAGTTGCGAGCGGGACCCTCCCAGGTGGGATTGTAGGCAGCATTGTTCCAGGACGGGTCGTAGGCGCCAGCTGGATCAACTGGACCGGCCGGCACGCGCTGCGCTTCCGCATTGTAGAGAGAGAAATGGACGGCCTTGGCTTGCTGAACCTCGGGTGTGTCGACCACGCGACCGTCCGCACCCAGTGGAGCCGGTGGTCCGCTGTTCGATCGAACGTCAATGTAGCACGCAACGCCGCGGGGGAAGAGAGATTGACATTATAGCGAGGCGTTCATATTTATGATCGAGTTGTCAAATTTGCAGCGCTAAACAGCACGGAGCAAGGTCGAGCGAGGTCGAGTGAGCAATGAACGAATCGAACGGCGGATTTCAGAATCACAAGAATCGGCAATTTTAATCCCTTCGACGAAAATGCGTTCGGGTCGTTAATCAATTATCAATTCAGCCGATCTCTCTCTCTCTCTCTCTTCTGTAAGAAAAATCTGTCACGCGAGTTCCCAAAGAGGAGATTCCAAAATGGAGGAGCAACGAAAAAGACCCGAAGACCGGATATTAATTTCAAAAAGCACTTGGCCGAATGAATATTTTCACACTTGGGAACCATCGAAGAGCAAGCGCGATCTCGACGAGCCGGCTGCGTCGAGATGCCAGAACGAACGAGAGCTACCTCGGAGGAATTCCAATTAGGCGCTAAGTAGGCGGGATAAACGAGACAATGAGATGATAACGAGCGCAGGAGACCAACCTGTAACGCGAGATGTAATTCCCAGAGGCGTAAGGCCCGTCGGGCCCGACGTAAGAGGCCGGTCCCTTGGGTGCGCGCGCGTTAGCCTCCGCCAGAGCGTTCAGGTGAGCAGCCTTGAGTTGAGCGACTTCCGGGGTGTCGACCACGCGGCCATCGGGACCCAAGGGTGCGGGGGAGGCGTGGGGTGCGTAGGCCGGTCCTCCGTACCACTGTGGAGCCGCCAGAGTGGCGCTCGACATGCAGGCGAAGACGAGGATCTGCGGTACAACATCGAGATAATCAGCGAGGATATCGTTGTTTCAAACCGTCACTCGGCGATCCAGCGAAAAGCTAGCGGAATTTCTCACACTCTCGCCTCTCGTCAGTTTTTTTTTTTCCCCCCAACGCGAGCAAAGCAACGAAACAGCGAAATCTGCGCGATATCTTCGACAAGCTCTGCTTGTCCCCCAAAACGGACGGATCAGTTAATCCAATTAAGTCGAGGATACAAGAAACCGCCGATCAGGCCGATAGACAGCGATATGAATGGAGGTTCCCGACAAATTGGCGAAGATATGTCCGATGGGGATTGATAGCAGGTTATGGATTACGTTAGTCCCCTCTCGGATAATTAATCTGAAGATGACGAGGACGAGCTGGCGAACGGTACTTCTCTCGGACGCGGCACTTCACAGCACTCCGGCCGAGCTCTCCCGTGTGCGTGTACTCACGAGGTGTCCGATCATCGCGGCTAGTCCTGCTCGAAGCTAAGGTATCCCGTTGCTTAGATGTCGCGGCACGTGCGTTTAGATCCGCATTACGTCCGCCGTGGACGCGCGTGCTACAATTTATAGGGATACAGGCGCCCGCATCTCGGGCGTGTTGCGCCCCACTTGGCCGCGGCCGAGCACAACCACACCCAGGAGGAAAATGCTCTCCTTAAGGCCCTACCCCGTAACATTTACCGTGCGTGTAACAATGACACCCGGTGTCCCGCGTAACCTCGCGTCGCCGATAAAAGTGCGCCTCCGAACTATGCGCGACCGTTAAACGCGCCCCGCGCGTCATCGCGCGAATGCATTTTGCAGTGGCTTTCGTCGCCAAGCTGACGCGGGCTCGTCGCTAACGAGCTCGTCCTCTGAAAATAATGAAAAAGGTGCTGCTTCTGAAAGCAGCGTGTTTCAGTAGTCCCGAAAATGTCGGTAGACTGGCAGCGATGAAGGTCGGGACGCATTCGCGCAGCATCATCGATATGACGACGTCTCGATGTTCGTCAATGTTAGTTATGAGGAAAAAGAGCAACATTATCCATCTAAAAGAGAGAGAGAGAGAGAGAGAGAGAGAGAGCGTCTGAGAGCGACATTAAAATTATAGAAAAAATGACCACACAATCGTAATTAGTGCACAAAATGTAGAACATTTTATTTCTTTTATAAAATTATTTTTATAAAATTATTTTTATAAAATTATAGTCGCTCCTGACGTCAACTTCTTGTGGTTCTGGCGAAGAAACAACAGGTAGCAATAGGCATATAATTTTATTATTATTGACATTACAGAGATACTTGCTTGAAAAACGGTCTTCTTGACTACAATCGCGCTTCAACCGCGATTAGAAACTACGAGCTAGAAATATCCGACATTTTTTCTCCTAGTCTGTGCACTCTTTCCCGCCAAAATTATAAATTATCTGTTTGTATTTTTATTTCACGTAGATGCCTTTTCGATAGATTTAGGGAATAATGTTTTCCCTGAAATTCTTCCGCTTCTTTATTGAGGGGACTGGAGGGTCAGATTGCTGAAAAATCGTGCTTGCTTTTGATAATATTTTGCGACGAACTGAATAAGTGTGTAAGAATGAAGATTTTAGGTATATTTATGCAACATACGAAGAGTAGAAAAATTTTATTTGTTAACAGATATTTATATAAATATATGATATATATATATAGCTGAAATATGCTCTCCTTTTTTTTTTCTCAAGTTGTCGTTTTGGCAGTAATATCTCGGCTCTCGGTTGTCCGATCAGAGTGAATTTTAGCTGGAAATCTTGAGGAGTCTTATCATTATCCGGTGAACCACTATAAAAAAAAAAATGGAACAAGATCAACAAAATGGCAGCTATTATTAAGAAAAAATTCAAATTTTTCAGTTCTTTTACAATAAAAAAATTAATATCTCGAAATGAAATATTTCCACGGAGTTGTCCATAGCTCAAATATTATTGCTTCAAAACTTCAAATCGACACGAAGCTCAGTTTCGGAGAAATCACCGCAAAAAGTTGAACAATAAAATTTCGAGAAAAACTCGTTTAATATTCAAGTGGACGTATACTTATATGAGTATTTGTTAATAAACAAAATTTTTCTACTCTTCATATGTCACATAAATATATGTAACATTTTCATTCTTGTACATTTATTCAGCTTGTCGCAAAATATTATGTCGCAAAAACAAGCACTATTTTTCAATAATCTGACCCTCTAGTCCCCTTAAGAGTAGAACGCGCTTTAATAATAAGATGTTGCTTGACGGAAAAGGAAGGATAAGGAAAGACTGCCTTTGAGCGCCCTATGCATGATCGATTTACGACTGTGCCACGTGCGTTTACTATCTTTACGTCGCGATCGCGCAACGAGTTACACCCACCAACGGCGCAGTTTATGCGATTCTTTATTCGCACGTGTCGGATCAATCACAATAGTATGTCACAGGGTAGCGATAACAATAGTTGCTGAATTACTAAAACGGACACGGTGTTGCAAGCGGCGACTTGGTTCATCGATCGCGCCCTATCCGTATGCCGATCTGAAAGGAATTGCGTATTTGTCACCAACGCAATTCCGACCAGCGACGCGGCGAGTTCAGGCGTGTAGTCAAGCTTGACGGAGCACCGGATCGATCGCCGATCGGTGATCGATACGTGAGATATCGACTCTGTTAAATTCGCGCCACCTAGCGCGGTTAATCCTGGAACGTCGCCAATACTTTGACACGAAGCTCGATCATCTGGGCGAGCGCGCGACTTGCTTGCGCAAAACGCATCGTTGCCGCCGCGATTGTGCGCTTCGCACGAATTATTGCAGAGACAACGGATAAATCAAAGCGATAGATTTTGCCGCGATGCGATCGACCCGCGCCTAAATAAATCAGCCGCTCCCGGCTGATCTTCATCCTCTTTATTCCGGAGGATATCTTCTCTCTCGACAAACTCGCGTCGTCTATGTGAGGAGAACAACTCGAGTACGGAGTATGGTGTACGTTGTACGTTTTATTTGCCCCTTCGATGGTTATTACATTGTCAAGTGTAACGTGTAACGATGTACCATCGGAGATTTATCCGCCGATACATTGCGCGCGTATTAGTGTTATACAGAGAGATTTTCCTAAGCACTACCACCTCGTCCTTCACCGCCGCCGACACGGCTAAGTTCTTCCTCGTGTGTGCGTAATATTATTACATCGGATACGTCATCAATACATGCTGGCTTCACCACTTGGGGTGCGAGTAATGGTGAGAGATATGAGCGACCTTGGCGACCTCCTCAGCGTGAGCGGCCAGGTGCGCCGCCTTGGCGTGAGCCACTTCCGGCGTGTCCACCACTCGTCCGTCGTGGCCGAGGGGTGCCGGTGGTCCGTGATACGCAGCAACGTGGTGATGAGCGCCGTGATGATAAACGCCCTGGCCATCGTCCGCGTGATACCCCGCGTGATAACCGTGATGCGCGTTTTTCGCGGCCTCCGCCGCGTGCGCCGCCAGATGAGCCTTCTTCGCGTGCGCCACTTCCGGCGTGTCGACCACTCGACCGTCGTGGGCCAATGGAGCCAGCGGCCCGTGATAGTATCCTTGCACCCCGTGCTCCTGATAAGGCGCGTACGCGGCGGAAGCCAGCGTCGCCCACGCGAGGCACGACAGGACGACGATCTGAAAGGGTGAGCGAGATTAAGAGATTTATGCGCGAACGAGAGCGAGAAGGATGATGTCGGCGGACAGGATCAAGGAGGAATTAATTTCGGAAAGAGAGAAGGGGGGGGGGCGGGAGAGTGACAGTGGATGATTAATTTGACGGACAATTTAAGAGATCTCGGCGAAGGAGGAGGATGGATGAAGCGTTCGCTTACTCACGAGGGTTCTCATGGCTGCGCGCATCTATTCGGCAGTCGAACGAGTCTCTGTCCGCTCCACCGCGCCGTGTAGACCTTATATAGTCGGCGAACAATGCAGACGGACGTCTTGTCCCGCCTAAAATAGCACGGACGAGACGCGGACCCGGCTTGGTTTTCACATAGTAGGAACGAGAGGGGTCCCGGTTTTTCTGCTCGGCAACGCGCGGCTGTGCCCGCGAGGAGCGAGACGGAGATACGTCGAGGAGACCAGAAGAGAGACCAAGTAGTTTTCAGCGTAACGAGAAGCGAGGAAACCGAAAAGAGCGAGAGAGGGAAGGGGGAGGCGGAGGGAGGGAGGGAGGGGGGGAAAGAGAGAGAGAGAGAGAGAGAGAGACAACGAGAAGGAGAGTGAAAAGGGGAGGAGTAGAGGGAGGCTGGAACGCCGGTGAGAGAGCGAAATGATGATTGCGTCAACGATGAAAACGCGACATTCTACGGAACGACGTTGTACAATTGCCTCGGCAAAAAGCATCAGCGGCGCGGCAACGTTTCGATCGAGATTCGATTGAGATCGGTCCCGATTTCCGATGAGAACGCACTCCGAAGAGTCCCAAGGTTGTAAATCTAAGGACAAAAGAGCCGAAACGTTCGTGCGTTGAAATGCCCGTTCGATGTTTTGTTTGGTATTGCTCAATAGCTTCCGCATGAGACGGTTGGCTGACTTCACGATGAAGCTTAATAAAGAAGATCGATAGTAATTACGTATAACGAATAATTAAGATCGTTAGAACACATTAACAATAATTTAATTAATTTATCGGGTCGAGTGGGGAGATCCTCGGGTCACGCAACACGAAGGCGCGCGAACAGCGCGCGAGAACAAAAATGATAAAACGCAAGTCGAAATCGATCCCATGCAGCAGCTCGACGATTCTCCTCGAGAACCTCGCGACGACTTGCGACGACTTGCGTCACCGACGTCTTTTCTTTCGCCGTAATTGATAACTATCGGCTGACGAAATGAATGTTCTCGCGGCAGTGCACTAATAACCGCGATTATGATCGTCGAATTAAAAGCTACCGGAGATTCCGCCACGTACACGCGCGCCGCGTCTAATTGCTTAACGAGGCATTGCATTTCGCTCGGGGAGCGAATACAACAGAGCGTACCTCGCGAGTAATTAAGCATCCGGCCCGCCGCGATTCCAGTGTTCCAATGATCCAAACAACCGGCGATTAATTAACGCGACGACACCGTGCACGACCGCTCGGAGCGGTCATCGGGTCGCGCCTAAAAATTAATTGCGTCACACCGCGCTACACACTTTCCCGACGCAAAAGCGCCGAGAAATGTGCATCCTGACGCATTTCGCAAAAATCGAACGATCGCCTCCTACGAGCGTTAGCTGAACGGTATTCGCGCTGGTGGGGCGACGCTATTAGGTAAGATTAAATCGCCGATTGTATATAAAGCGAGCATTTTACGCTCGCTGCTTATAAAACAGTGACACTCCATTTAGGTTCGAACGTAACGATGAAGTCTCTCGTAAGTACTCTTCTTCGACTGTAACTTTAATTTACTCTGCACATTTGTCTGTCCTTCTCGAGGAAAGAAAGAAATCAACAAATTTCGCAATATCGCAAATCGCAAATGTTCGTTTCTCGTGAACGAAAGGGCCGAAAAGGTTGTCCGACGCGATTAATGTGTTAATTACGCATGTTTCGTTTTTTTCCTTCGTTGGATAAAAATCCCGCCGGAGAGAAATTGCTTTCGATGCGATGTCATCGTCCACACGGTGACGTCATCGCTCCTACATCGTTCACCTTCCCGTTTTTGCAGATCGCCTTGGTCTTGACTGTCGCGGCACAGACTTTAGCAACGCCTGCGTATTATCAGTATCGTGGACCACCGGCGCCCATCGGCCACGACGGCAGAGTGATGGACACGCCGGAAGTAGCGCACGCCAAAGCGGCGCATCTCGCCACCGTGGCGGAGGCCGCCGCCAAGATTTCGCGCAGCTCCGTGGCCTCGGAAGATCGGGACCATCACGGATACTCGAAACCTGTAACAGTGGTTAATCAGATGTACCACACCGGCTATCAGGGCTACCACGGACCGCCCGCACCGTTGGATCACGACGTAAGGACTCTATCCTAGACATGTAGTTGATGAAAAATTCGACGATGATCCGCTTACTTGAGAAAGTGTTCAAAGTGTTGAAGACGCGTCAATTTCAATTGATTTCTTCGAGACGTAAGAGACTTTTCGAACTCTCTGAAGAACGAAGATATCTCGAGGTATCTCACAAACAGATCCAAGTCGACCTCCTCGAGTTCCGATCTACTTCTTTAAGGGAGCTCGCGGAAATAAGAATCTCAAAGATAGATCGCCTTAAGAGCAAGTTTGCACCATCGAGCCCTCGAAGAGACGAGTGTGTGCGGCGGCAATTGATCGCTCGATGTTATTCTTTTCACGGTCATCTTTCTTCTTCAGGGTCGCGTGGTGGACACGCCGGAAGTGGCCCGAGCGAAAGCCGCGCACTTGGCGGCTCACAACCACATAGCCTCCTCGGCAGCCGTTGAGGACGACTCGCCGTCTTACAGTCACGGTTATCACGGCCCGGCTGCACCCTTGTCCCACGACGGCAGGGTCGTTGACACCCCCGAAGTGGCGCACGCTAGACAAAATCATCTCGCCGCTCACGCCAACGCGCTTCATTACGGCTACAGCGATTATTGAGACGGCCGATCGGACGAACAAACGGACGACAGTCTGGCCGGCCGATCCTCTCGACCAATTAATTAACGACAGCGTTAAACCCCCGTAAATGAACGACGAAAACGTCCAATTAATGCCGCGTTGTGACAACGTTGTATAATCGAGGGGACACGTCCCTCGAATTTATGCAACTCGCCACGGCTCGTTCGAGCTTGGCGACGCGTCGTCGATCACTCGCACACCTTCGAGCACCTCAACATTCAGACTGAGACGCAAGACTCACGGCCGTTCGCTCAAGTTACTCAATGTTGCTTAAGACGCATGCTTTAGCCCGTAAGAAATACATAGCACTTGGTCGTTATTTTCTCTCTACTTCTCTATCCTGTGCGCAAGCTTCCCACCTTTCCCGATAAGAATACACGAAATTCGTTGGAGAACTCTCCGAGAAGTATGAATGTCACATGTGCGCGGCTGTGAAGGACAACGGCATTCGTCGTTGACACGAGCGAGAATGGAAGAACCGTGCGCGCGCGCGCGTTTTGCGAACGTCCGACAAAGGGGAACGGTGCGATCGAGAAGAGATCCGTCGCGCTGATACGGGTCGTAGCATAAATAATCGAACCGAGCACGGCACGTCGAGGAGTCGACGTGTGCAACAGCCGTACCTGTCAACATCCGCCTGCGGCCGCGCGCGCGCGCGCGCGCGCGCTCGGCATACCTCGTCGTCTTTTTGCTCGCGAACGAGCGAATCCGACGAATGTGATCTCGATCCGGTCGCATTACATCGCTACTCGTCGCAGCCGAATTCGATCTCAAGGATCGCAACATTTCATATCACTCTCGGACAAGCGCCTTGAGAGAGCCGCGGAGTTCCACGCTCCGTTACGTCGCGCGAATCCGCGTCGTTAATCAGACGCTTATCATCCTCGGCTCCTTTCGTCGTCGACTCGAAATCGCAATCCCGCGGCAATCCCCCGCGTTCGCACGACGCGGGGATTTCCCATATACGCGGCGAATGTCGTCTCGCTTAATTATCCACCCGTGATTATCTCGCCGCTCGTTTAACGACGTGTAATCGCTCGGCCCTCCTTATCGGTATTCATGGCTCGCCGCGAGACCGGCGCGGCGATGCGTGCGGCCCACGCTCGGGGGAAAATGCAGAGTTAGCCGGCTAATTGCAAATGTCGCTTATTGGACATTTAAGGTACCCGCCTCGGTGCCGGGTCTGGTACGCGCACTTATGCGCGATAGACAATAGGGTGATCGGGCGTGCCGAGATTATCTCGAATTCCAAGGAAAAGGGCTTTTGTTCCCGTCGGCCGGGCAGTTGCGCGATCGCTACGTGTTATTAAAGCGCCCACATGGGCGTGCGAGGAGACTTTCCGATTCCTCGCTCACGGAGCGGTAAGTACACGAATGGTCTCTATTTTCGCGCGGATCGCGCGCGGCCGAGTTAGCGCGACGCCCTCGTCGACAGGGTCACGCGCGTCATTCGTCGTGAACGTCGCGTGCGCGTGTGCGCCGGATGTGCGAAAGAGAGCGTTCCCTCCTTTCGTCATTTCACCACGAACCACGAGCGGAATCCAGCTTCGCGGAATCACGCGCTTTTTAACGCGCGTCCGACAGACCCGAGCGATTCGAAAAACGCGCGGCAAGGCCGCGCGAAGAAAATCCCATCGGCAAGCGAGACCTTGAAGTCGAACTCACAGCGACGAACAAAAAGACCTCGAGTTCGCACCTGACGCTTATCGGGTGCGTCAAACTGAGAAAAACGATCCGCGTTCGTGCCGCGTTCGACTCGCCCGGGAAAAATTTTACGCTCCCGAGGACGCGCGGCTCTGCGACCTTCGATTTGGCCGGCCGCGGTGCTCTCCTTTCCTACTGCGCTCCGTTTTAATTTCAATTACACCCCCTCCCCGCCGCTTTCCTTTCTATCTTTCGGCAGCTTCACTTTGATATCGCGAAAGACGGCCCTATCGGCCGGTTCCTGGGTTCTAGGCAATATCGAGATAAAACCTAACCTAACCTTGTCTCTTCTTTTAATTAAAGAGTAGCAAAAAGTTTCCTCATTGGGATCGAATAGATCTGCCGATAAGAGGAAAGAAAATTGCGTAAGCATCGCTGCGTGTACACGTTAAAAAAAAAGCTCTCCCGCATTTCCTGTTGCGTATTATCCTCAGCGCAGCTGACTGCCCATTAGCTTCGCGGTAACAAAGACGTTTTACGATCTCCCCTGGGCAAAAACTGACCGATTTATCGCTCGGAAATCGACAAGCCGGACTTCTCGGTAGGTCCGTCGATTGCTCTCGGACCTTCGACGTCGGTGGTTGCTGTCGATGGCAACCTACGCAAGGGGGAGTCGATGGAGGAAGTCGTTCGGTGCACCTGACCTCGCCGGTGCGTCCGAGGAGCATCCCCTCCGGGCGAATCGAGAGCGACAGGCGTGTTCGCAGGGTCTCATTAACGTCAATGTCAGCAAATGTCGTTAATGTCACAAATGTCAATGTCAACGCTTTTGAGGCGCCATACTCGCTGCAAGGTGTGGTCCCCTCCTACGGGTCGACGACTCCCTACCAGGATTCACATATATAAAAGGAGATCGGAGTCTCGACGCCGTACGACATAGCAGTCCATACCTTAGGGCGAGTACTGGTAATCAGCCAGCAGCGCTTGTTGACCGTCACTAATAAGACATGAGGACTCTCGTGAGTACCATCGAGACCGGCGACCGGAGACTCTCGAGGGCGTCTTGGTCCCGCGGTAAAAAGACTCGGTTCTTCATTTAGTCGCCCTCTGCCCCGCTGCGACGCACCCTCGCACCGTTACCTGATCGAATTCCTTTTCTCTTCTGCTCGCGTGCTCGTCGGAATCGTAATACACGGAGGAGCAAAACTCGTTAATTGGAACTCCTCAACTTCAACGGAGGACCGGTCTTCTTTTGGTCTTTATTGATTCTCGCCCCTTTTGTCTTGACGCGAATACAGCGGCGAATACATCGAACGTTGGTCTCTTTCGCGATTTGATTCCTCTATGTCGCTCGGCGCAGCAGGATTCGCTGAACTCGACTTTAGTCTTTGAGAGAGTTTCCTCGGGAGACTCAACAAGCGATTGTACGGTTTTAATTTCTCTCTTAGAGGCTTGCCAAAGAGTAAAGAAAAAATTTGCCGAGTTCTCTCATGATCAAGTAAATTAACTCTTTAATTTGATTAACACCACGACGATATATCGAGGACTAAACAAGTCTCCGTTGGGCAAATTTGCTAAAAAAAAAAAGCGCGTGATGTTATGACTAATCATAAAACATGCTTTTTCTCAGATCGTTCTATCAGCACTGTGCGCCATCGCGGCCGCGACACCGGCTTATCTGGCTTATCACATCGGGCTGCCGCTCAGCCCGGACGGCAAGATCCTGGACACGCCGGAGGTAGCTCAAGCGAAAGCGGCGCATCTCGCCGTTCAGGCCTACGAGGCTGCCAGGAACACGGGAACGCTCGGCTACGGATATGCTTTGGCCGCTTATCCACCTGCAATTACGTACGGCGCGCCCATCGGCGCGGATGGTCGAGTGACAGACACACCTGAGGTCGCGCAGGCCAAGGCTGCCCATCTCACCGCTCACGCCCAAGTACGACGCTCTCGCTTAGAGACGATTGCGCGAGTAGTGCTCGGGTCCACTCGTTGAACCGCGCTGCGACGAATTACACATTCCGAGTACTTATCGTGTCACCTGACACTTTCGTCGTCGTGATGGCGTGGCACCACGTCTTCCCGTTTTTGAGAATCAAAGTCGACGGATATAACACGTATGGACTGATGAGAGTTCCCTGTTCAAAACGGCTCACGACACGTTAACATATCGGTTAACATACCTGGTCGGAGATACAGTAATATCCTTTTATCCAATCTTAAAATATAACGAATATACAAAGTAGCAATGTTTTTTTATGATATTTACATCAATATCGCATCTCAGCTCCTTCAGAAAAGTGATGTTTTCAATCTTCTACGCCTCCGCTCCGCAATGTGTTAACCGCTAAAATCTCGGGCTTCTTTGAGATATTTGTACTTTGAGAAATCTAACTTTGAGCAACGTCAATTTACTATGTCGAAGTGTCCCGTATTCGGATACAAGCGATATAAAATCGTTTGCGATATAAAATCGCTTGCGATGTTCGCTTTAATTCTGAAATACTCATACCGTTCGCATCAGCATAACGATCAGTACGTAAATTAACAATGATATATGCCGCAGGAGGCCGCCAAGACTGCCGGACTTCCCTACGGCGCGCTAGGCACTTCGTGGCTCTACAATCACGGTTACGCTCCTATTGGACCCGACGGCAGAGTGATAGATACCCCCGAAGTGGCATTAGCTAAAGCTAAACACTTGGCTCTGTTCGCTCAAAACGCTAATTGACCCGAGAAAATATTTGCAACCGATCCACCGCATATCGATCACAAGTATGCCTTTGCTTCGAAACCGTCTTAGCTCGGCCGACGAAGGAACGTTTGCGGAGAAACACTCATTCCGTGTCATTCTGTATAGATCTGATATGAGAGACAAGTTTTACTAATAAACGTATATTTCAAGAATCTGGACGACTGTGTATCATTTGTTCTTCCATGTTCTGTTATATCCACAATATTGTGCTCTTTATACATAAATATAAAAAAGAATTCAAATTTCGTAATCCATGATCCAGAGTGTAAGACATAAAATCCACGAAACACATGGAGATTGTCTCCTATTGTGTATCGTCAATTTAGGTTAAATTATGCAGACTTAGTTTTGCTTATTTTGAGGGATTTCTGCGCCATAGCTACGGCTCCATCTCTAGTCGCATGTCCGCCGATAAATCCATTGACATGGACGAAATCAGCTCCTTCGATTTGGCAGGCTTTCACGAGCGCGTCATTACGCAAGCCGCACCATTTTTTTGGAAAAGGTAACCTGCACTTGAACTGACCTGCACTTATCGGTACACATTGGATCCGATGGTCATTGTCACTCGAAAAGAAAATGATGTATTTTATTGGCGGCGAGATATTCATTTCTCTTTCCATATGAAATAGGTAACTCTGCCATGGTACCCGTTGCGACAATTCTATTATCTCGCCGCTTGAATCGACCTTTAAGATACAATTTTTTAAGTTGAAGTAATCAACGAAGAAGAGAACTATTTAAAATGCACGTAAAGGAGAAAATCATTACATGTCTCACCTCAAATCGTCTGTTCACAGCATTGTATACAATTTGTTCCGCTGGTAACCAAACTTTCTCTGTATAGCTTACAGAGTCCATGAACACGCTATGTACCAAAGTCATAGCTTTCTTAAATTGTTCCTCTTCATCCATATTACTGTTCCAAAAGGGATTCAGATTTTTTACTCGTGAACTCAAGTCAGTATTTATGCGATACCTGTAGTAAATAAAAATATTATTTTAGCAGACTTCAAAAAAACACCAGGAAGCATGTAAATACAAGAAGTACAAATATGATACTTACAATGGTTGACAATCACTTTCATTTTGACCATTGTCTATAGCGTCAACTTCCACAATCAAAGTATCATAAATCCTCTTGAAGAATTTCTCAATAGTTTTGTCTTCCTGTATATCTGGACATAGGTTCCTCAATATTTCATGGCCAAAATGACAGTAAACCAAGCCAGCACTGCTCAACTTGACTTTATTATTGTAATTTGATTTCTTTAAGACACTTTTTGCTGTTTCACAAAAATCTCTAACATAAGAGAGAATATATATAATAACATGTTGGGGAACAAATGGTGTTTCATTACAGAATACATTAACTCACCTCATATGATGATCGTATCTACGGATGTAGTGATCATATACTCCACCAACATCTACTACAATATCACACTTGTCTAAGATATTCTTATCTCGGGATCTAAACACAATACAAAATCTATGAATTTTCTGAATCAATATTCTTTTTTTGATTCTACCTTTATTATGATTATTATGATATACTTTAATTATATTTATATTACAATCAATATACTATAATCGAGTATTCTCTCACAGCCTCGTCATACTTAGAACAATCAGAATGTATTCCTTTCATTCATGAGTCATCATTACTTACCTCACTATAATAGCATCCTTATATTGTGGTAACAACTTTAAAAGCACACAAGCAAACACCTCATCACAATGAAATGTGCCATTGTGTGTACCGATTTTTATTTCCTTGTCCATATTGTTTGACATTGCTTTAAGTTTTAATTTGAAATTACAGATATTTCCTGGGAAGACAAATTTTATAAGATTGAGGAATCAGAGGAAAGAGTATGATTTGATAGCTGTTGCTACAAATCATTGACTACACAGCAGCTTTAATCCGGTTTAGTAACAACTGTAGTTAGTGGTTTCTTGCATCCGATTGGTATATTTTCTTTCAGATCTAAAAATATATTTTAATTAAATACGAGAACTCATTATCTATAGTTGTTATAAAATTAATGGATTAACGTTGCCACGTCTACATAGTCATTTGGTCTGTTCTTTGTAGCTGCACTGTTGAACTGGTGCAATAAGTTAAAGTGAGACAAATATAGGTTTTCTCACTCTGGCTTATTGCATCAGTTCAGCAGTGCAGCTACAAAGAACAGACCGATTGAGTCACTACATACATTAAGATATGCTCTCTATCGTTGCAACGAGATTTTAGTACTATTTATACCCTATCAATATAGTAACTCATTCTTACTTAATAACAATGTAATAAATAACAAATGTATTATATTATGACGTAACGTAATATAATACAAACCAAACCATATAACGCATCCAATATAACTGACTCCAACTCTATAGCACTCAATAGACTGTAGCACCAGAGAGAAGAAGGAGAGAGGTCACGGGCCGCTTTTTGCCGTGCCTAGAGACCCTAGAATACAGAGTCTGAACATCTGAGCTAAAGCCCCTCAAAATGGCGTACATATATATATAGAGGAGAGCTATAATAACAGAAAGAGTGAGTATATAGAATTGACTGTTTTTATTATTATTATAATAGAAGATATAAAAACAAAGGGTAAGTAATAAATGACAATAAGATATTTGATTATCTTAATAAACAATATATGAAACTGAAATTAGAAAATTCTTCATAAGACATAAGTTAAAACACATAAGTTATGTTCTCCCTAACTTTAGAATATAATGTCAATTATAATTATAAACTTTAATTACAGAATACACCGTACCTTACTGTTGTGTAACTAAGTGCTCCAATTAATCAAAAAAACACTTTTCCATGCATCGCTTAGCAACAAAAAAGGAAAGAAAGCAACAGTGGATTGTGAATATTGGTTGACTTGACTTAGATTCAACAGAAGCCCACTTCATATGCGAGGTAAGTTTATTTTTCTTTACTCACATTAACAAACTGCATTATAAATATTCCCAGCAAACACCCAGTAACAGTTATATAACTGTTAATTGTAATTTCCCACTCAACAATGTAACTGTTACATAACACACATGTTATGTAACAGTTACATTGTTGAATGGGAAATTACAAGTAACAGTTATACAACTATTATTTTATGTTTGCAGGGTTATTTGTATAAATATTTATTAAATTTTATTTAATAATATTGATATACCACAGGCACATTTTGCGACTGAAACGTGGGAGAAACCACGGATTGACGGAAAGAAGAAATTGAAAAATACAGCAATCCCTACAATATTTAACAATAAAAACATTCAAAATATTACAGTTTCTAACAACACAGCCAACAATTTGATTTCTTCGAATGTAAGTTTAATTCTATTTTTAATAAAAATATATGTGTGCTTTTAAATCGATATTTTACTTTTATCATACTTTGAATATATGCGTGTTCCCGCTGCAATGTGATTCGCACCGCCATTATGAGGGGCCTGAGAACATGAACCAATGAAAAGATGTCTATGGGTTGTCCAGACTCTGTATTCTAGGGTCTCTAGGCAGGGCTAAAAGCGGCCCGTGACCTCTCTCCTTCTCTCTGGTAGCACACTCTGTGTAACCATCGATATAACAATATATAAATGCAGCACGGCAAAACTTTACTGATCTGTCGTTGTGTTTATAAAAATATTTTCAGCGAAGGCACGCGATATTATATAAAACCATTTTATTGGCTTCATTTTATTCGATATATTTTGGCAACAAACGACAATAAAAAACATCCACATGAATTGAATAAGCCTGAAAAGTTGCAATTTGCGACATCACAGTTTAATGGGTCAAAACACCCGTAAATTCTTTCTCACTGCAGCTCTTGCATTGTTTTGCACTAAGTTTCTTTCTTCCTTTTTCTCATCAAGTCTCAACTGTATACATGTTTCTTTTTTTTTTTAATTTTGAAAGAGTATATTAATTCTTCGAAAAAGAACAGACAAAAATGATTATTAGACTTTTGTCTTTCGCGGGTTAATAAACAGTCTGGCGTCATCTGGCGATATCAAGAGGAAACTTATTGGAAAAGGTTGAGACTTGATTGAATTTGGTTCGAGTCTCGGGCACACATGGTTCGAATTCTGAATGTTGCATTTAATTCGAAAGTTTGCGCTACGAGCCGCCACCATCCTCCACCGAATGTTTGGGATCGTGTTACAACTCAACAGGGAAGATCTTTTGTTTCTCAAACAGTACGACTAGATGATCAGCCGCACTTTTTCCATTATATGAAACGTAGACAAAATACAATAAGCTTCAACTTCGGCAAAAGTAACGATAACGAAGTGATTGAATTTTCTACTTTTTAAGAATATTAAAATCATAACGTTGCTGTCGTTTTCTGCTAAGATATATCGTATTAAATAAAAAAAAGATGACGGTCTGATTTACATCAAAAACTTATTTAGATAAAAAATATATCATATATAATATATCACATTGTAAATAAAAATGCAACAAAGATACATCATGCTTTCAGAAGAAGCTTAAATACAATCAGAAAAGCTTCGAAAAGCATCAATGTCTAGACACGTTGAAAGCATCCATTCTTGTCCGACTGATGCATCCATTTGGCATAAAATGCCCCAAGGTCACCTTGAAAGTGCCCGGGACGTTCTAGGGCGTTCTCCAGACATTTTGGATGCGTTCAAGATGATAGCGGGATATCTTGTGCTATTTGGGGCGCTTTTCCTTGCACCTTGGTCTTATAATTAATTCCTTCACAAGAGAACCAAGAACTATTGTCACTAATGACATATTTTTTGGGAGGCTATATAATCTTCGGCAAATAGCTCGCTCAATTAATCCGGGATAAAAGCGCGTGAAAAAAGCGTTGCACGTGGCACCTGTTTCCCTCAGTAGCTCGACACCCGCGCGTTCTCCCCTTTCTTCAACCTCGTTTCCACGCAAAAGTCGCGCATTGTTATTCCGCACAGAATCGTCGGTGAAGAGAATACACACACAAACATACACACATATACAGGCCACGAAATTCCTAAGTCAATTCATTCTGTGCGTACCGCCGCATTTTGTCTTGTCGCGAGCGACCTTCGATAAATTACTCTTGCCGGGCGAATGAAGAAGAACGAGTCGGCTTATTGTTTCTTCATGTAAATTTCGTTAACTTCGTGGCGTTCTCGAACGCATTTGCCTGCTGCACGTTCGGGCAATTAAAGATTAAATTATCTCGCGCCGCGAGATAGCGGCTTCTCGTCCTGTCCTTCGTCTTTTCTTGCAGGAATACGGCGGATACACTCTTAGGCATACGATATCGCATTCGATATCGCGAATGTCATTTTGCATTTTAATCGCGATGTTACGCGGGGACATTAGTCCGAAGGTGCAAAGTCTCGCTCTCGGCGATTCGCGCGACGCCGAGCGATACTTGATAACGGGATATTGATATCCGCCCGCGCGAACATTGCTTCTTCTACACCGAGATATTCCGACCCCGGCGACGAAAACCTATCCGAGACGAAGTATTCGTTAGGCCGATCCGCTTTGCATGGGAATTTCGTCATTGGCTCCAGGAGAATTTTCGTTTTACCATGTAATACGCTTTTTTACCTGTCTATCTCGATTACCGGGCGTGCGGTTAGGCGTTTCGCATGGAAATGCGCCGCGAGTGAGCGTTGCAAGGACGGCGTCTTTCGTAGGCGCGGACCCGTTTCGCGAGCCGTTCGATATACAACGTACACACATACGCACAAGATGTGTGCGAAAACGAAACGCGTTCGTTAGATTTTTGCGCGACCGCCGCGCCGGCAGAACTGGTATTTTGCGCGCCTCGCCGCGCGTTTCCCAGCTTTTCGTTCTCTTTCCTCCGTATCGCGCCTCGAAAGAAAAAAAAAAAAGACGAGGGAAAAATGGCATCGGTCATTCGGACGTGTTCCTTTCGCTTTCGTCCGGGCTGATAAGAGGCAATTCGCCCGTGTTTCTCGACGCGAGTCGAGAACTTTGTCCGGCGCCGAGTGCCAAGGCAAAAACGATAACTCGCTGTTACGACGGGATCGTAACATTACGCGAGCACAATCCGACGAGCAACACGCTTCACGCGAAGAAAATTCGACTTTCTTCCACCCGGAGAACAATGTCCTCACCATTGTCGCTTCGAAGAACGTTTGCATCTGTAAATCCGTTTCGAATAAAATCGAACAAAAAGCAAAGCACACGCGAATCATTCGCATCGATAACACTACGTGTACACCACATGCCATGTGGAACGACTTTTTAAGATTGCCGATGGCAAGATAACAAATACGCGTCCTCAAGGATTAATCGAAACTGCTTGGCGTACCTCGTAACGTAACGTACCGCGCGCTGGCGTACCGTTAACTCTCATCCGACTGTGCGCATCGAACGCACAGCGAACGTCACTTCATCTTATCACGGAGCTGCCGGCTAAATCCGAAGTGACGATGATTTGCCGTTCGCAAGGATTCGCACATCTCTCGGATGTTCGCGAGACACCTGAGGCTTCCGCGACACACGGAATATCCGGCGCGAAATAAGGAGTGAGATTTTCATTCGCGGACTCCTCGGCTCCAGCTCGGGAACGTTTCTTCCTCGGCGAAAGAACTTTGCCCACCGCGCCCCTCTTTGGTCCCTTATTACTTAATCCTTTATCGCGTCATCGACTCACCCGATAATTATCCCCACTCTGTCGGATGGACTGATGACGATTAGAGGCGTGTGATTCGAATAGACAATTTTTCACACTTTCGAAAGTGCGAACATTTTATTTATAGCGACAATCGAGCACTCGAGAAGAGCGGTGTGTCAGCGTCACGGCGGACAAGTTGAACGAACGATGGCAAAACAATCGGGCGAAGAGGAGGAGAAGATGGCGCAGGAGAAGGAAGACGAGGAGAACGTGGAGAAGGAGAAGAGCCGAGCCGAGAGCCGAGCGATCGCGCGGAACCCGGAAGGAACAGGTCCTCTCATCTGCCGCTAGCAGGATCTACGCTAGCCAGGTGAGCACAGGTAAAGTATAGCCAGGCCAGTGTACGGTCGGCCGTCGGCTCGGCAAGAAGCGCGTGCAACACCGATGAAGGCACAGCCGGGAGAGAGAAAGAGAGAGAGAGAGAGAGAGAGTGCGTTCAACTGACGTGAATCGTGAATCGTGAATCGCGCGACTCCACGCGAAGCCACGGGATTCTATGTCGCCGAGCCTCCGCGGGAAGGTGAGAACGGGCCGAAGACCCGATGCCAAGGATATCGCGCGCGTTGGTGGACACGCATTACTGGTACGTGGACCGGTCGATCGCGACTCGCAGTGTTTTCATATCCGCCGAAAGAGACCACCCACACCGTCGTCTGTTAGTTTGGAAACTGCGCGATACGATGCAATGCGCCGCGGCTTTCGAGTACTCGAGAGGCCGGATGAAGTTCAAAGGTCCAAGAGAGCGCGAACTTTGTTGTCTCCCTGTTTTGGAACTTTAACGTCTCGTTGTGTCTTGCGTATCTTCGCCGTGATACAACGTAACGCAACATTTCATCCAATTATAAACGACGAGATGAGTGACTCGTTTGGTTGCATCTTCTCGCTTGTATTAATGACAAAATTCCATTTCGATCGATAAAAAAATGTATTCCAACTCGATGAAAGACGATAAAGGCCGATTTGTCCGGCCATTTATTCGCGATTGTCTTTCCGTTTCTTATCTCTTACGATCGAACGTGCGCGAAATGCGAAAACGTATGCAACTTTTCCAAAATTCCAAACGCCCGATCGGATCGTGCGGAATTGTCCCCGAAACAAACAACCACGGTACTCCTTGGGTAGCCGCAGTCTGTTGCTTTTGATTTTCTTCTCTGAGCCCAAGATCCCTCGATTCTCGCGATCAAACAATCTGAATGAAAAAAAGAACATGCTTCCCTATCTCGATATCACGCTCTCTCACTCGAGGCACGTTCGCGCCAAGAGGAATGTGACGAACATAAATCGACTAAGTCGAGCGACACGTCTCCGACGGTCCACCTTGGGGGAAGAAAGCCGTCCATGACGCGCCATATGCGCGTGCAATTCCTCTGGCACGTGTCTGTCGTTCGACAGTCACATTCAGACTCGCGCTCGTCGAACGTCCGACTTACACGGTGTCACGTAACAAGTACATTCATAAGATACGTTTCGAAGAGTTTAGCGATAGAGCGGGATTCGCGTGGACGTGTGTCGAATGTTGCGTCATCCTCGAGTTACAATCGTCCGCCCAATATGCAATAATAAAAAGAGCAAAATGTCGAGACAGAGAGAGAGAGAGAGAGAGATTCTAACAAATCAGGATGAAAGTTACGTGAGCCAAGCCGCTGATATCAGTGCGTAATTATATTATTGTTTGCAGAAATTAAAT